GGCAGTTTGGTTATTGAGAAGAAGTTGTTTAAAGTTTTTAACATATTTGACCCCTGTGACCTTGAAAATAGATGAAGGTCATTTATTTGAACAAACTTGGTAGCCCTTCATCCCAGTTTGCTTCTGGCCAAATATCATCACCCTAGGCCTTTCGGTTATTAAGAAGAAGTCGTTTAAAGTAAAATATTGATGCCGGACGACTTCGTGCCAGGTGAGCTAAAAATATGTATACATATTCTTTACATAGACCAATTAACTGTAATCAAATAAACCTTGTACAGTATTCATCTGTGTCATCCCATTAAAAACGAAGAGAAGAGAACAAGCTTACACTCTACCTAACAGGAAGATTTCATTAAGACACTAAAACTGTAAGCCACCGGCTAACAAATACACCCCTCTTATATGGCACGAATCATTGGAACAGTCACGTTTGGTCTTCTGACCATAGTGATTAATTATCTATGAAGTTTCACACAATTCATTTTGGCACCAGTCAGAAGAATTCCCTCGAATAGACTGAGTTAAACAAAATGAAAAAGCAGTGAAACTCTCATAAAAGAAGCAGATCAAAAGCTAAGTTTACGTATACATCTTCAGAGGATGTTGAATACATCAATTGAGTTTTAGGAATTTCGTATGAAAACCATAGGAGTAGTTGTCTGGACAAGATTCTGTCTGGAGATGGATGGACAGATTAACTGATGGATGGATGGAAAGATTAACTGATGGATGGATGGAAAGATTAACTGATGGATGGAAAGATTAACTGATGGATGGATGGAAAGATTAACTGATGGATGGATGGACAGATTACTGATGGATGGAAAGATTAACTGATGGATGGATGGACAGACAACCTTATTCCAATAAACCATCATCCTTACCCCAAATTTTGTTTTATTCTTGTTTGTTTGTTTTAGGGTGATTTTTTTGCAATGAAGCATATAAAAGCAGACATGTGCATACCTGGGAGTCTATGACAAAGATAATAGCTTCACATTCTTCATATATAGAATCATGGAAATCAATCTGGCCAGGTAAATCCCACACCTGGAACTTTACAAAGGAGCAGTTGGTAATATCTGGAACAGAATAAACATAATTACAGATAGCACAACCTTTATCAACAGATATCATAACAAACATGTAAATGGGAGAATTCAGTAAATCAACTCCTCTTATCCACATCACAAACATTATAGGGTAAATTACATTGCACCTCTCCTTATCAACCTACCAAACATATCATAACAATTAATTGCCTCTGTCATCCACAGATCTTGATCAGGTATAGCTTGTACTTGCTTTCTTTAATGATAATTGTTTGCTTACCTTCTTTTACGATCTTGTTGGTACTTTCCAGGAATAGAGTTTCATTGGGTGACACCTTGTGAAAAACTACCTTCTGTATGGAGGATTTCCCACTTCTGCATTTAAACAAACATTTATTTGTTTTGTTACATTAAGTATATTTCATTTGATATCATCAAGACACAAATTATTCAACATTTAACATTTTTATTAATATATAAAACAGACACCATAGTTAATTAATTATATACAATACTTTTCTGCTGTTTTGATAACTAGGTTTCATCCTTTTTAACAGCACTTTATCATAAATCAGTTGATGTGACAAACCTTCTTAATCCCATTAGTAGGATCCTTGGTTTGTGTTCTGATGATGATGCCTGTGTGTCAGTGTCATTCTCATCAGGCCCATAGCCAAAGCCCTTTGGAAACGAGCCAAAGGAGCCCGCCACTTTATCTTCAGAGTATGAAGACTGCAAACAAAAAAAGATCACTAAAAAAACGTACAGGGATTTGACGTACAATGTATTAAGGGTCAAAAGGAGCCATTTAAGGCCATTAAAACGCTTTACCACTGTGACCTTGAGTGAGGGTCATGTCATTTATTTGAACAACCTTGACAGGGCTCACTCTGGACCTAGAAAATCAGTAGTCATTTTTGTTTTAACAGTGGCCATACTTTCTCGGCCTCCAACTGTTACGGATAGGCCCTCGATTAAAATCATTAAATGTTTTATATGTTTTGAAGTGCAATACTATTCAACATGATGTTAAATTAAGGATAAATTATAAACATGATATATATAACAAAATTTTAATTTAACAGAGTACTCCTTAATTTAGTCCGAATTAATTTTGACGTTTTATCGACTTCTTTTATATCGGTCTGTCGTTGAAAATCTGCACTTTGACATGGTGTTTCAAGGCGATAATTATACTTTCTAATCAAGCATATCGGACGCATTTATGCGTGCTAGGGTATACGTACTGGAAAGGGTAAATGAAGACAATGCAAACTTTTTTAAATGCATTTAACCAATAGATGTAACAAGGTGATCAGATCGGCTTACAGCCCCGCCAAATGTACGTTTGCGGACCACCTATGTGTGACTGGCTTATCAGACTGTTTTCTCAACGTCAATGGGTCATCCAATTAACTTGACCCCACTGTCCATTAATGTACACGGGGTATAACATCTGAAGCTTGATAATTGACTTCATAACTTAGACAAAAGCATTAATTAACTCACAGTCGTATAGCACGCGCTGATCTGTGACAGCCCTGATTATGTTTACGCAATCAGTGTCAGCCACAATATACACACATGAGTAGACAGATCGTTCTCTGGGACAAAGATACAGATTTTACCCATTTTTAAAAACTTAGTAAGTCAATTGAGTAGCCACATCGTATTTTTAGTAGCCAATAGATTATAAAAGGACCAACAGTGCGAGCCCTGCTAGTCCGAATTATTCTGATGTTTTATCGACTTTTTTCATATCGGTCTGTTGCCGATTAACGTCAGTCACGACAGACCGATATGAAAAAAGTCGATAAAATGTCAGAATAATTTGGACTAGCGCCCTGCTTGATATCCCTACGTGTAAGCAAGTAACATAACAAATATCAATACCGGTACCCTATATACATCATGCTGCATTAAAAGAAACCATTTCATGATCATTATAGCATTGCAACACCTTTGAGAGGCAAGGTATATCATTTTGATATATATAGTGTACCCTTTTATTTCATCGATGCAATCTTCTCATCATCAGGTAATACCCTTATTTCAGTTATCTTCATTCTTCAAGAACAGTTCAATTAAATTAAAGTTTAATTAAATTCAAGTTTATTTGGTAAACAACACATAAGTTGTTTTTAATATTTTAATAATCCATGATACCCTTTTTTGCTCCAGGTGTTTAAAATAACTGTTTGTGATTTTATTTCACTTTATTACACATCTCAGTAATAAAATTGTTACTACAAATGGGTAACTGTAACCCAAATGCAGGATTATTACCCATATGCGCCGTTGTGCCCAACCTGTTTATCATGTGTATAGTCTAGAGAACGACACTGCAGGCCTTTCTAGTGCTAAGCCCGATAGTCATTAAAGGGGCACTGTACCATCTGGTCAAAACAATAGAGTCATGTGTATAGAGCATACAATGTTCATTAGTTACAAAATAAGCTCATCTGGGCTATACTGATAGTGATCTCAACCAGATGACAGGCATGTGACTGCAGAGTTGTGAATGAAGTTATACATCCATGAAATTTGTTCACAAACAGTACATCTATTAAGAGTGATAAACAAGTTACATATCATAAAATCAAACGGAAGCAGTTATTAAACCCTCTATGATATGATTGTAATTACCATGTGCGCCAATGATTCCACCAAAACTGTTACTTTCCGATTCCAGTCTTGTTTTGGGTATCACGTTCTATTCACTTCCGGGAAAAATCATGTGACCCCTTCTGTCGCGGAAAAAATAATCTCCACATCCTTCGACCGGATTTCTTGCATATATAATAAGAAACAGGTCAAATTACGGAAAATATACCACAAGAATTTCAATTGCCCAAGAAATATGTTATATTTCAGATGTGTTTTGTTAAAATTTGTTTTTTTTAAATGTTCTACATTTTTTGTGTATTCGGGGCGTCTTTCGTCTCTTCCTTGTATTTGCTAAGCGATCAAAAAGTCTAGAGAGTCTCGAAATTCGGCTTCCGGTGAAAACACAGCAAGAAAAAGACTTTCCGATAAAATCACTCGATTGTAAGTTACTAATAGTTTAACACATTAAGACATATTGTGCATATTTATAAATAATTGTGTCATTTCAAAAGCATGCATCATCACTTTTAAATAGCTTACCTACCTTATTACTCCTGTAATTCAACTCTTTTTTCTGACACAGTCACACAGTAGCACAGGGGTTCGTAAATACAGAGGGGGGTGGGGGGAGGGGGGTTATTAGTCATAAAAACCCGATTGTTCGACCACTTTTTAAATTTCCATGCGGATAGAGAGAAGATAAATGGTGGTCGAAGGGTGAGATATTTTGGACTAGAGTCATTTTTTTGTATTTTCTTTGTAACAGTAAAGAGAATAGTGTGCTTCCACCGGGGATCGAACCCTCGATTTCCAGGTTCCTAGTTGGACGCTGTACCACTGAGCTAAAGGGAAATTACCTCTGGCTCGAAGGTAGAAGGCGACCTTAATCCTATATGTACAATCAAAAACTGCCACACATATTTTTCATAAAACATCATAGAGTTGTGATTGTACATAGGATCACAGTCACCTTCTAGCTTTGCACTAGAGGAAATTTAACCTTAGACCGTCCGACTAGGAAGTCTGGAATCATGAGTTTGATCCTCGGTGGAGGCACAATACTCTCTTACTACTCCTCTGTCGGATAACACAATATATAAAAGACACATCTCTTTGTCAGGGACTACGTTGTCATAGCTACTCTCTTACCTGTTACGTAAACAAACTTTAAACCCCTTTACTATGTAGGTCAATGAATTTCAATCAGAATCAGTGGTGTACAATTGTAATGAAATCCGACTGTGTTTATTGCCAGTGACCTGCTAGAGCAGTAGAGTTAAGAGGACTCCAAGGTTGGAATCTGGGTTTTTTGGTTGTGCATGTTTTCTCTTAACTCTAGACTACTGCTCTAGCTGGTCACTGGCAGATGAACAGACTGATAATATATGCATGTGGCACCCTGTTATATTTTATATTTCGTTGTAGTTATATTATGTAGCGTCTAAGTGTACATATTTAAAGCATACCAAAGTTCGGATTTATTTAGCCACGTCCCTACATGTAATTTTTTAGGTTCTTTGCTTTAGTAAAAAGGCGTCAAAACATCTGGTATACGTATTTGATAAGTTTATTCTCCTCGTGGGTAGAAAAATACCTAAAATACAAATAAACAAGTTCTGATGAACGTCTCCAAATGCAATATGCAATGATCATGATAAATCTATATTTGCTGAGTGAAAATAAATTATACAAAAAAGCGATATTAATCTCAATAATATGATAAAATACAGAACATCATGTTAATAACCTGCTAGCAGTACCATCACCAAAACATGAATGTAAGCAAAGTACAAGAAATTATATATTCTAAAAGATAATTTCCCATAAACCCCCAAGTATGTTCCATGTAAACAAGACACTTGTATTCTTTATCGTTGATATTCTTGGTTGTTGAAGCAGATTGTCAGCTTTGGCTTATTGCACTCATCAAAAATGAATTGATACATGAATTCACTACAGGTATTCAGATGATTTTAAATTGAAATATCATTCACCATAACAATATCTGCACCCTTCAGTTAAATATTGAATTGTGATATTTAAGTGGACATGATGTTGTAGATACATGTATAAAGTGGGACTTCTTTAAACAGATATCTAGATTAATCAAATTGATTTTCTTAAGTGAGCGAGATCAGGTTATCTCAGTCGAGGGCTAGGATTCTGTAAGAGAGCCAGATCAGGTTATCTCAGTCGAGGGCTAGGATTCTGTAAGGGAGCAAGATCAGGTTATCTCAGTCGAGGGCTAGGATTCTGTAAGGGAGCAAGATCAGGTTATCTCAGTCGAGGGCTAGGATTCTGTAAGTGAGCCAGATCGGGTTATCTCAGTCGAGGGCTAGGATTCTGTAAGTGAGCAAGATTAGGTTATCTCAGTCGAGGGCTAGGATTCTGTAAGTGAGCCAGATCGGGTTATCTCAGTCGAGGGCTAGGATTCTGTAAGATAATCTGAGGCATTCTACGATATGTCACGTAAAGACGCCAGGCAGATCCGACAAAATAGAAAAATCTAGCAAGGGGTATCACATATCACGATATCTGATCCTGTCTTAGGTGTGAGAATAAATGTTATAGGAGGCGTCTCTCATCTCCTAAGCTCGGTATCAGATCTATTTTCTGAGTTGTTGGATGCAAATGCAGTATCATTGATTATACAGAACTTTGTTCTGAACTACATATTAATTAGCATTTGTTTTATACATGTATATGAATGTGCAATTTTATTCATTTCCATGATGTGTTTGCAGGATGGTCATTAGCTGCAACAGGCTGTAATTCAAGTCTTGTGATGAGAATGTCTGCTCTAGTTCCAGTCATGTGATGAGAATGTCTGCTCTAGTTCCAGTCATGTGATGAGAATGTCTGCTCTAGTTCCAGTCATGTGATGAGAATGTCTGCTCTAGTTCCAGTCATGTGATGAGAATGTCTGCTCTAGTTCCAGTCATGTGATGAGAATGTCCGCTCTAGTTCCAGTCATGTGATGAGAATGTCCGCTCTAGTTCCAGTCATGTGATGAGAATGTCCGCTCTAGTTCCAGTCATGTGATGAGAATGTCCGCTCTAGTTCCAGTCATGTGATGAGAATGTCCGCTCTAGTTCCAGTCATGTGATGAGAATGTCCGCTCTAGTTCCAGTCATGTGATGAGAATGTCCGCTCTAGTTCCAGTCATGTGATGAGAATGTCCGCTCTAGTTCCAGTCATGTGATGATAAAGCTGCTCTAGTTCCAGTCATGTGATGAGAATTTTGAGTTGTGTGATGGGAAAGCCTTACAATCTGGTATCTGAATCACAGAGGAAGTGAAGCATGTCTTTATATTGTTGTCTCATGTAATCAGACATGGGATGAGATACTGTACAGTAATAGTGTCCCACTGGGTACCTTCCATGGGATAGAATTCAGTATAGACATTTTACAGTAATAGTGTCCCACTCGATACCTTCCATGGGATAAAATTCAGTATATACATTTTACAGTAATAGTGTCCCACTGGGTACCTTCCATGGGATAAAATTCAGTATAGACAAAAAATACCTATTGGATATGTGGGTACTGCACTTATAATGATGCACAGGTGTATTAGAGTTCGCGAGGATACCTATGGGGGTGATTGAGGTGAGGTGCTGCTGCTCTACACAGGTGTGTTGACGAAGGCCACAGAATGGAGGTGCCTGGAAATGTAAACCAGAGAAATAGTTTGTACCATAAACTCACACATGTACGATTGTCTCGACTTATTGTGACTTTATTTGTCATTTTGATTGCTGCTCCACTTGTAGCTCATTACTACCTCTCAAAAATCACCAGTGATGTCGACGGTGGCACACCAGACCCAAAGCAGAAACGGAAAAGCCTGCTTGATAGAAAGGATCCATTTCATACAACAGATGTAAAAACGCAGTTGAGTGAACTACACCGGATCAGAACCTCGGTTAGTAATGAATTACGGGATCTGGAAAGTAAACGACAAAAACTACAATCACAAATATCTAAATATCACATGGAAATCGAAAAACTGCGTGTGGAAAAGGAAACCTTAGAAAAAGATATAAAAACAACTCAGCTAAGTCTGGATCAACTTCGGTTAGAGAGAGATGAGTTGGACCAGCGATACATTCCGATATTAAAAGCTCCTCAACAAATACTGTTGGGACCTGAAGCCAATACTCATATAGTTCCTCCTGCATCTTCTGTGTCCTGTCACATGCATTCATGTTTTGACTATTCACGTTGTTCTGTGCTATCAAGATTCCCTGTGTATTTTTACACTGGGAAACAGCTTTTGGATTTTGGAACGCTAGATTCTTTTATCGAAAACTCTATTTCAGAGATTCTTGTGAAAAACCAGTATAGGACATACAATCCAACCTCTTCCTGTATATATGTGGCTGTTATAGGCCAAAGTAAAGCTCAAAGTATTGATTCAAACTCTGTAGAAAATGCTCTCCATAATTTACCATACTGGCACGGTGATGGGAGAAATCATGTGATAATGAATATACTTCGACAGCCTGGACATGCTGACATGTTCACTGGCGTTAATACTGGGCGAGCCATCATTGCTCAGACAGCATTCACAGAAACCAGCTTCAGGTCTGGATTTGATGTATTAATCCCACCAAGTTTGGGCAAAGCATCGGGAGATGTTTGGCAAGACCTTCCCCCGTGTTCTCCTGTTCGACGGAAATATTTCCTATCATTTGTTGGTCTGTACAATAATGGTATTTTACAAAGTAAACCAGCGCTATATCAGAATTCCAATGTCAATATAGAGTCTAATGAACTGAATCGTTTATTTGAAAATGGTCATGGATCTGATGATGCAAATTATCAAAACCGAAATTTAAAATCAATTAATGATAGGAATATCTTACAGGAAGGAGGAGTGGATGAGGATAAATTAGATTTTGAACAAACTATTGTAGAATATTTAAAGGAAGTGGAAAGTACCAGTGACCATGGGCTGTACACAAAGTTTTCCTGTGAAAACCCTGTACCAGGCTCGGTGATTGGTGAATGGGGATTATGCGGGGCCGCCAATGAAAGGCATGACTTACTGATACAGTCAACCTTTTCTCTCATATTTGCCCCACTGAACACTAGCTATGTGTCTACAGCAGTCTTCCAGATCCGTCTTTATGAGAGTTTAAAATATGGGGCAGTGCCGGTAGTTTTAGGGAATCACATGCAATTACCTTTTAGTGAAATATTAGATTGGAAAAAAACAGTTATTATGCTTCCAAGGGCTCGTTTGACAGAAGTTCATTTCATTTTAAGAACTTATACAGACAATGATATTGCGCTGATGCGTCGGCAGGGAAGGTTTGTTTATGAGACCTACTTTGGCACATCCTACAGCATGTTCAACACTGTTTTAGCATTAGTAAGAACTAGACTTACCATTCCTGCTGTGCCTGTGGCAGATGTGCCCTCTCCCAGTGTCTTCAATACCACATTCCTCACCCTAAAACTGGAGGGACCAGAACCAAACCAAGAGACAGATGAGGTGCTGGGGCCATTAGAAAACCCTTTTGGCTCCCTCAAGTTTAAACAGAACTTCACCCAATTTGCTGCCTACCAAATGTTTCAGCATCCAGGAGATCCCCTACAGATGTTTCCAAACACGCCATTTGAAGAGGTTCTGCCTTCTGAAGCCAAGTTCTTAGGTAACAGTATTAATAATGCATTGTCTTTGAGTTAAAATGATATACTTGATATACAAATTATATGATTGATAAGAACAATATACTACATGTCTTAGAATAATAAAAATTGTACCGGGGTTAGAAGAATATAAATGAAATATACAACATTCAATATAGTGCCCTATCTAGCTAACATAAGCCATTCTAAAGCGCTTTACAGTACATAGATATCCAATTAAGACAATTAGCATATAAATTAATCAATACAATTTTGAGGAATTCCTAGGAGCTGCCTTATCAGGCGCTAACTACTAGTCCTATGCCACCTGGCTAATATCTCCCTATGTGTGTTTGCCTGTGTGTGTGCTGGAGCTGTAATGTGTTCTGTAATATACATTGTGTTATGAATTTGAATTATACATTGTCTTTGTTTGAATTAGGATAATGTAATATTATGATAAATAAGGTTAATATATGCATTGTATATAGAAATGTATATAAGGGTGATCGGGTGCCCTAGTGGATAGAGCACTCACCTTTCACCGATACGGCCAGCTGGGTTAAAAGGTATGGGGTCACCTGCCAGCTGTCTACATGGGTTGTCACTGGATACTCCAGTTTCCCTCCTTCATCAAGACCCTCAGCATGCTTCCATCGAGGCCAATATGTGTGATTAATAAAAGTTGAAATAACTTGTTTTACAATTTGTTGTACAATAAAAAGACTTTACACTTAGATCTGTATATAGGTTAGGATGATATACAGTACTGTACATCTTATGATGGATTTATATATGTATAGCATCAGTATACATAATGTAGATTATAGGATAATATGCATTGTATTAAATTAGAATAATATGTATTGTATTTCTATGGTGTTTGTAAATTGAGATCAATATGAATGAAGACATATGTGATGTTCCCATTTGAAGCCAAGTAAGTTTCCTTATGTACATTGTATGTGAAGCAGCAGCTCTTTTTATAGTATAGCGTAATTATGTGAAGCAGCAACTCTTTTTATAGTATAGCATAATTATGTGAAGCAGCAGCTCTTTTTATAGTATAGCGTAATTATGTGAAACAGCAGCTCTTTTTATAGTATAGCGTAATTATGTAAAGCAGCAGCTCTTTTTCTAGTATAGCGTAATTATGTGAAGCAGCAGCTCTTTTTATAGTATAGCGTAATTATGTGAAGCAGCAGCTCTTTTTCTAGTATAGCGTAATTATGTGAAGCAGCAGCTCTTTTTCTAGTATAGCGTAATTATGTGAAGCAGCAGCTCTTTTTCTAGTATAGCGTAATTATGTGAAGCAGCAGCTCTTTTTCTAGTATAGCGTAATTATGTGAAGCAGCAGCTCTTTTTCTAGTATAGCGTAATTATGTGAAGCAGCAGCTCTTTTTCTAGTATAGCGTAATTATGTGAAGCAGCAGCTCTTTTTCTAGTATAGCGTAATTATGTGAAGCAGCAGCTCTTTTTCTAGTATAGCGTAATTATGTGAAGCAGCAGCTCTTTTTCTAGTATAGCGTAATTATGTGAAGCAGCAGCTCTTTTTCTAGTATAGCGTAATTATGTGAAGCAGCAGCTCTTTTTCTAGTATAGCGTAATTATGTGAAGCAGCAGCTCTTTTTCTAGTATAGCGTAATTATGTGAAGCAGCAGCTCTTTTTCTAGTATAGCGTAATTATGTGAAGCAGCAGCTCTTTTTCTAGTATAGCGTAATTATGTGAAGCAGCAGCTCTTTTTCTAGGATAGCGTAATTATGTGAAACAGCAGCTCTTTCTCACCTTAATAATAATAATGTTGTGTGCAAAGTTAAAATGTTATCTGATGATAAGAATGAAATTTAACCAATTTTGTTGTTATGTTTTGTTACCATTAACATGCCTTTGTTATATTGCAGGATCAGGCTATGGTTTCAGGCCTGTCAACAAGGGTGAAGGAGGAGCTGGCAAGGAATTCAGTGAATCCCTCGGGGGCAACATTCCTCGTGAACAGTTTACAAGTTAGTAAATTTAAGGTGTTTTGTACCAGATATAATAAATAACTGTAGCCAATTTGAAACCTTACATGGCAACAATCCTTGTGAACACTTTACAAGTTAGTAAATATAATATATAGGTGTATTGTACCAGATATTATAAATTACTATACTTTATATATAGCAAATTTGAATACCTCAGGGTCAACATTCACCAGGAACAAGTTGAAAGTAAGGTGTTTATACCACAAACTGTTGGATACCGTTATCGTTGAGTTAATTCCTTAGGGCAATATGTATATCTCCCAAGAGAATTTTCATGTAAAATGTTCATACTGTTTACCATTAGTGTTCAGTGAATCTGTCAATTTGTTTTTANGCAAGTAAGGTGTTTATACTAGATACAATGAATTACAATAGTCAGTTTGAACCCTCAGGGGCAATATTCACCAGGAACAAGTTAAAAGTAAGGTGTTTATACTAGATACAATGAATTACTATAATCAGTTTTAACCCTCAGGGGCAATATTCACCAGGAACAAGTTGAAAGTAAGGTGTTTATACTAGATACAATGAATTACTATAGTCAGTTTGAACCCTCAGGGGCAATATTCACCAGGAACAAGTTAAAAGTAAGGTGTTTGTACTACAAACTGTTGGATACCATTATCGTTGAGTTAATTCCTTAGGGCACTATGTATATCTCCCAACAGAATTTTCATGTAAAATGTTCATACTGTTTACCATTAGTGTTCAGTGAATCTGTCAATTTGTTTTTACATATAAGTAATCTATTTTATGAGTCTTCTCTCGAAAGTCATAATATAGAACTATGTACCTGTTGATTTATTATCAATTGAGTTGCAATAATTGTCTCCACTGTAGTAATAATGCAGTTCTACTGTGCACATACTCCAGTGTTTATTTGCTTGGTTGTCCCCCTTACAATTACAATGTAGAATTGAGTATGTATTACAGTATGTTATTATGTATATTGCTCTATAATAAGTTCTTTTGATTTCTTTCTACTTCTAACTACCTTTTGTTTCTTAGCACCTTGCTTGGCAATAACTCACTTTTGGCTTTAATGTTGGTAAAAGACGTAGGATTGTCCACAGGCTGGGACATACCAAAGTCCTTCAAAATGGTAGTTGTTATCCTCTGCTTAACAGTCAGCATTTGGGATAATGGTAACAACTGGTTCACTGTTGTCGGTATAATGTCGGGGAATGCTGTGCTGGGTGCCTTCAGTGTGTTGTTTCAGTGAGGTACACTATAAAGTCGGCATTTGGGATAATGGTAACAACTGGTTCACAGTTGTCGGTATAATGTCGGGGAATGCTGTGCTGGGTGCCTTCAGTGTGGTGTTTCAGTGAGGTACACTATAAAGTCGGCATTTGGGATAATGGTAACAGCTGGTTCACAGTTGTCGGTATAATGTCTGGGAATGCTGTGCTGGGTGCCTTCAGTGTGGTGTTTCAGTGAGGTACACTATAAAGTCGGCATTTGCAGATCAATGCTATCACGTCGATCACAGGATATACACCAA